CTGGCTATTCGACTTGGAAAGGTGCCCCACCTGGCGAAGATGTCGAAAAGGGCTGACAGAAGCACATACGGAGTCAATGGCATTTCAATATTTTCTCCCTTTTGCCCTGAGCGCAGTCTTCCGGTGAGTTGGTGGCGAGTTTACAGGCTCTTTCCTCAATGAAAGGCAGTTTGATTTATAAGCGGGTCTGCAAATTATAATAGAAGATGAGGAAACTACAGGGAATGGAATAGATTGGTATGGATCTGCTGAGTATGAACCAACTGTATTCGTAATAATCGGCGCGTTCGCTGTGGCAATGCTGATTTGAACTCATGCTTATCGAAATAGAATAAAATCCAAGTAGTTTTATCATTTATATTCTTTTAATCGCTACTGAAATTGTTTTCAGTAGAAGTGCCGAAGCCCATAACAAAACTCCGTTTACTGTAAAATGACCGTGCTGGCTATAGGTCCCTTGCTGCGTGCATAAGATGTTCATCCTCTAAAACACAGCGCACTTGTGTCTTAAGGTATTTGATCTTGTTTTTTATTTAAGCGGCTTAGTGGCCTGGGTTCAAACTTTTCAGAGCGTTAGTTTCAGCACTCCTGACAATTTGAGGGGTTTGGCCTACGATCTCCTAAATTTAGGGATGTTGGATTAAGTAGTTTATAGTAGGGATTAAGGATAGGCTGTGTTAGGTTAAGTGTTAGTTATAGGTCCCAAGTTATGGTTAGTGTTAGGATAGAGTTTAGTTTTAGGCTTAGAGTCAGCGTTAGTTTTAGTGTTATGGTTGGTTTTAGGGTTATGGTTTAAGTTAGTTTTAGGATTGGGGCTGATTCACTAAAATGAATCCAAAGCTTTTTTAAAGTTCTTTATCTACTGCGTACTCACTGTAGAGTGCACAAAGTGTTTCCAGTTCAGTTAAAAACCTCGCGGAAATGTACAGCTACCTTCGCCGGCGACACATGTAGAAATCTAACTTTGCCGTAAAGGTATAAACGTAAATGCGGCAAAAAAGCGAACTTTCACGCATTTCACTTACGATCTTAACCCCTGGGCTTTCGATTGACTGGCCTTCGGTCAGTTCAATTTGCTTTCCTTTTCCGTCAATCAAAGTTCTCTGTTCAGTTAGCTTTGTGCCATTTGCTGCCGTTACGCCTATTTTAAACTCCGTGGGGCATGCCTATTGCTTACAGGCTTATGTAAGCAAAGCAGATTTCTAGGGCTGACGTCATGCTTTTAAGCCATTTTCATCGATTATTTTACGCTTTTCTAATAAGCGTCACCCGTACAAGTCCTATTACTACAGTTCCCGTGTTACAATAGTCTTTTACTCCGGTTTTCTTAGCCGTGACGCTTATTGTGCTCCCAACTTCATCTCCAAGTCAAGACTCTGACCATTTCGAGGTACTTACTCTCTATTCATTTATGTTACATACCGACTGACGTTATAGCAGAATGTGTTTAATGAGCCGGCGGCTTCTGGTCAGAACCCAAAGTCAACTTAAACTAACTGTCCTGTCAGAACTCCCCTACGTACCTGCAGTATTTTCAAAAATAGGAGGAATTGTGAAACCAGTGATCTTAAACGTCCGAGGGTCGCCGTCATTTAGACCTTAACACAGTCTCCTTCCTCTGTAAATGCTTAAGCAGTTTTCAGTTTGCCAGCCGGTGTGTTGCCCCATCAATCTGATCTCCCAGGAAACAGAAATAGGCGACTGAAGGCGACATGTTTATTTCCTTCGG